TACACGTTGTATTTGTATCTTTTTTTCGACCATTGTATTTAAATTTATTTGATGATTTATTATATATATATATACATACATATAGATGTGTATAAGAGACAGAATTACTACAGACTGAGTAGATTAGGCCTACTGGTTAAAATATAACAAAATAAGATTTTTATTTTTAAACCACAGAAAATCACAAATTTATATTCAGTACATTCTCGACTTTTTGGAAATGTGGACTTTATCAAATTTGGTTGGGTGTATTATACAAACTCTTCCTAACACCCCAACTACTGGATATACGGGTCTGGAAACTTTTAAATTACCTGCCAATTAATACAGTTTTATATGCCTATTATAATTTTTTAAATTTTTCAGTAATTATTTTTTAAATTCTTCTTCCACTTCCTGTACCTGTCTCTTATACACATCTAGATGTGTATAAGAGACAGATATATATATGAAATTCCTAACATCAGTTAGGAATGTAACACTTGGCGTGTGTGTGTTATTCTGACGAATATATTGCAGTCAGACCTGCGACCTTTCTCTATCGTCAAATCTATCAAATGATATAGCTCTAGCTGCCGTATATTTCCTTTATTACATAAAATGCAGGGTACTTTGTCGTCCTTGATCCAGGACAAGAAATCTCTATAAATAATCGCACATATCCGTTTAATAGAAATTTGCTCAAGGCCATTTTCCTGATCATTGGATTCAGAATCAGTCATGAATGTAGGTCCTAAAATAATGTGCAATCACTCTTCACTTTCCAGATTGCAAATCAAACCTAACAACTGATCAATCAAAACAGCGCTATGAATAACCGCGCGTCTCACAAACCGAAGTCCCACAAACGCGCGTGTTTGGCGTATGTTTTAACACTATCGTATCGTGTGCCCTTAGCAACAAAATCCAAGAGGCAGGAATTAGCTTAGGCCTATGTTTCTAAACTTTGGAATAATTTTCCAACTGACCCTTGAGTTATCTCAGAGCCTAATCTTTGTAAACGTGCACTCAAGACTTACTTGTTTGCCTAAGTCTCCTTTTAGGTGTGTTTTTCTTTTTGTGTTTTTATTGTTGTAATCTGTTTATTTGTCTGTGTTGCTTGTGTGACTGTACTATTGTGATACTTCCGGTTCCTGAATTAATGACTGATTTTATGCCTACTATTGTTTTCCTGAATTATTGAGGCTTGGCTTGCAAGGCTTCATAACCGCAAGGGAAAGGCGCAATATAAATACCCAATACCAGTACCAGTACAAGTATGTTGTAATAAAACAACCATAGGCGTAATATCGAATTACCAAAATAAGTGAATCAATCAATTAATACGATATTATTATTGTGGAACACACAAATAATAACCAATAAATCCGAAGACTTAAATAATTTGAGGGGGTTTTTTTGTTTTTGTTTTTATTTTGTTTTTGTTTTTTGGTGGGGAATTAGGTACACCAGGAGACAATGCTCTTATTTTGCGAAGATTACACCGTGTATTATAACTTGCACATGGTCCATATTGCACAGAGGGTCAAGCCCAGCTTACTTGTATTTCATTCCTCAGCCTAAAACACAATGGGGTTATCGATCTAGAAAGAAATCAGTTGTTCAGAGAGGGCACACATTAGCTACCAATAGATAAGTTAAATCACAAGTGGCGGATTCAAGAAGAGGCTAAGCCTATTTTTTTTTTTTTTTAAATTAAAAAATATATTAAAATTTTAACTAAGACAGTTCCATTTCCGGTGTCACGAGAATTCAGGTACCATCGAGAAATTAAGTACCAGACCTAAATTCTCGCTTAAGCGAAAACTTTGGGCTTGTCGATAAATTAAGTACTACTCTCATTTTATGGCACTTATAGTACAATGCATAAATATTTCATTTGTTTTAAATTTACGACCGATCGTAATTAATCAGGTGAAATGGTATTTGATACGAAAACGGTGAAAATAAGCAGAAAATATACGATTTTGAATGTTTTTTATTCTTATTAATACTTCAAATCTCATCCGCAAAGACTACGACGCTGACCTAATTTTCTTCACTGCTACAACAGCTGCAGCGCGAAGATTGTCCTTGTTACCGCATGTTTGGCAGCCAGGCTTTGCACCGTGACGTATGGATGCTCTTCATTTTCAGCCAATCAGAGTAGATACATGCCCAGAGTGGGAAAACAAAATATGAAAAAGATGGGTAATACACAGTTACTGTTAGCTGAATGACTTTGATAACGAATAGCGCCCGTAAACATCAGGCATCAAATTGTTTGGTAAGACGGTATACCCCTCTCCACAATTTTAAAAACATGTTTAGACCAATTTTTTTATTGCATTTTATTTCTTTTTAGACGTTGTGTGTGTTTTTTGTTCTTTGTGCAAATTTAAATCGTTTTCATGAGACCCACTTTTTAAGGCTTATCCTATAATTAATCAGGGTCGTTTGTTGCATTTTGGCCTTTCTTGTCCTGTTGTTTTAATTACATGATTAATGAATAAATTCAATTCAAACTAATCAGAATTGATTGGAAATTGGACTGGAGAATATTGCCAAAATTATTAGCCAATGTTCAAAAAGATAATCGTTCCTACGATTTCTCAAAATAATTTAGGCATGTTAAAGTGTTTTATGCTCTGCTTATGCACCTAATAACAGAATTAATTACAGAATTCACCCAAAATTGTGGTATTTCATTTTCATTTATTTTATTCAATGTCCAGGTAGCTCTATTAATAATGATACAATGAGAATACAATACTTTGCACGTATATAAGATATATAAAAAATGAAATAGAACAAATACAGTAATAATGTGATCAAATCGTAACATTCATGCATTTAGACTGCTTAATACAGTCATGGGGGTATGATAGAGTATATCAACAAAGAGCCAAGGTAAATCATATATCACTCAATACTGTATATGTTCTTCTTACAGAGAGATAATAATACTAGGTAAAGTGGGTTGACACACTTGAGTTGCACAGAATTGGAATTCAATAAAATAAATCAATATAGCATTTATAAGTCTACTTTAAAATCAATTTAGCACTTGAAGATAAAAATGTATATTTAATTCTCTGAACTATAGTTTAATAAACGTTTAAAAATAATATATTCACATAATGCTATATGCAATTCAATTTTCAACACACTGATGAGTTACCAACATTGCCTCCTATGGAACGCCAAAAGGACAAACCACAAGTGGCGCAGTGCAAAACTAAAGTTGCACATTGCAAATCCAAATGCGTGTGCCGCTACTTGACTCTTGCACTGCGCCACTTGACTTTTGCACTGCGCCACTTGTGGTTGTCCTTTTGCGATATCACGTCAAAAGGACAAACATAAATCACAGTGCAAAACTAAAGTGGCGCAGTGCAAAACTAAAGTGGCGCAGAGCAAACTCAATTGCGTGCGCCGCCAGTTGACTTTCGTACTGTGCCACTCATAGAGCTATTAAAACAACTAGAGTGCTGACAAGATGGCGAAGCAATGCAATGTTATGTATGTGTACCATCCAAGATGGCCGTCGTAGTAAAGCGCCACATTCAGGCTTAGTATACATATTATTACCATAAATAAGGCCTCTGACTGACTATTATTTCATTAATGATAATGAGTAATGGTAATAACAAATTATTAAACTATCGTAGCCAAAACGAGGCCAAGTGGAGCACCGTATTTAAAAATAAAGTACCAAGGAATGAAAATTAAAATCGTGTACATTACGCCAATACACCGCAACGCTCGAGTTTCAAACATACGGGTAACTAGCAGCTGTGCTGAACTTTTTGTGTAAATTAAGGGCGCAATTGCAAATGATGGCGCTTAGGCGAAATTTGATTGGCTAAATGTATGGCAGCCATATTGGATGGTACACACACACAGCTCTGCGTATTTCGAACATCGAATACATTGCAGTTAGCGCTCTAGTATTCTTATTATTATCTCTATGGTGCCACTTGACTTCTGCACTGCGCCACTTGACTTTTTCACTGTGCCACTTCACTTTTGGCGATATTGTATGGAACGCCAATTTTGGCATCAAAATGAAACTAAACAACAATAGGCCTATAAATGAATTAAAAAAAAATCAAGAACACATAATTCAATTTCCTTAATAATTTCACAACAAAAAAAAAATGGGACTAAAACACCAATAGGAAGGCTTCGATTAGAGGCATTATTGTCGTAGATACAGTAGCCTAGGCTTCATCGTAATTATTACCGCTATACCCTTTGGAAAATACCACAGTGTGTACACACTGTGTTCACATATAGTCCACACAGTACACACTGTGTTCACATAGAGTCCACACAGTGAACGCTGTGTTAACTCTGTGTTTTTGAATTACATACAGTGAACACACAGTGAACACTGTGTGAATTTACGGGATACACAGTGTGAAGCGGGCTTAGAGAAAGTCTGGTCTGGCCACCACCTTAAATTTTGCCCGTATATGACCGAAGAGGATTCGATAATGATCGAGGGACAAATGAGCTTTGATCTCTAAGTCTCGAAGATTCAAGGTAAATTCAAGGTAAAAATACATGCATAATATACACACATGGGCCTACATACATACATACATACATACATACATATATAGGCCAATATATATATATATGTGTGTGTGTGTATATATATATATGTACATATATATATATATGTATATATAGGCCCATATACACACACATATATATATAGCTATATAATATAGTAATGTTTATATTATATAGGCCTATATTATAGTTACCTCGCAGTTTATCACAGTATTAACAAGAAGATGTAAAAAAAAAATTTCAGTACATCTTCCTGGTATTACTACTAAGGTTAATCGTATTATCACCACATAGTGATCACAGTCTTGCCACTATGCTCTGTGAAACCCCGGGGGGTCATGGTGGAGACGTTGAAAAATCAGGTCACATGCAGCTCGTCTGGCCCAATCATTGGTTGCACCAGGATGGTGTGAGGAAGAGAGAAGATCATATTTCAAATTCAAGCGGGGATTCATTGTTTCATCGTCGATTACAACAAGCGTTGTGTTAAATTGGATTCGTTAAATTAATTTCGCAAAACGAAAATGTGCATGGGTTCTACACTGGACGGAGACAAATGTATTTTGGACGATTCAATGGTTCCAGATAAAATCATGTTCGAGGACAACCGAAAGATTGAGATGGAGAATATGGAGATCCAAAGTTAACAAGAACCCTCCAAGAAAAAATGTCTGAATGGCGTACTGTATTCAAGTGTTGTTCGTTTCTATTCATATAGGTAATTCGAAATTGCATTTTTCTTATTATTTATACACTTTGAATATATTCATTTTTGCTAGGCTGTCCATAGGCCTGATGCTGGTACTAACAATCAATAGTGTTCCAATCCATAACCCACCCACTACTTAAATAAACAGAAAAATAAATTCGGGCTAGGAGGCCTCAGTCTACGACCGTTTGACCTAGGACTAGGTTTTACCTCCTAAATGGTCCGATTGAAATGGCCGTTGACTCGATTGTGGAATTAATGATTATGACGGGCAATTACGCTTTTTAATTCGTTTTTATTTATTTATTTTTTTTTATTCAATCTTTTGGTATGTAACATAGGTCTAAATGTATAAAAACAAAACCTAAAATTTTATCTTCATTTGGTAAGAATTAAAATATATATTATTTGCACCAACAATTAAAGTTGTTTTAGGCTCGATTAGCCTTCCTAAAACAGTACTACTAGCCTATTCCTAGTAATATAGCATAAATGCCTACAAAACATTAGCTAGCACTGTACATTCTATGTATGCCTTGCTATATGAATTGCATTTTTAGCGTTAAAAGTCTGGCCTGGGTCGAAATTACTCGACATCAGGCCAGCTTGATTTTCGTGTGATTAATTTTCTTGATTGTTAGTTTTATTTGTTTAGTTTACAAACTATGAATATAATAAATCTACTTGCAAATTAGGGTTTGTTTTAAAATACTCTGTTTGATTTAAATAAGAAGTTAAAAATGTATAAAATAAAAATCAGTTACCATGCATTTTTGGGTGCCAAAATACATTGTATTTAAAAGACTAGGTATAAAGAACATTTGTTTACTAGTTTAAGAACTTTCTTTATTTTTTAGGTTGCACTATATACATTTTGTCTCAAAGGACTATTATGCAGCTTAAAAAAGCCAACATGCACGTAGACTGGTATGTGCTGCAATGACAAACAAAAAATATACAGTATCTGCTAGTTGGTAAGTTAATTTTCTATTTATTGTTTTGAGATTTAAATAATCCATTTGTGTTTTAATTTAAGACAACGACAAATGTATTACAGTAAGTATATTGCATTATAGTAAATTGTCTGCTTTACGACCGTTGATTTTATATTACCATGTTGAATTACTAAAAATACAAGCAATGTACTATTCAGCAGTTATAAACACAATTTGACTTTTGCCCCAAGACCGTTAAAAATTTATGTATACCTCATTGCTCCACGATTCAATTACAGTAAGTAAATTAATGTTTCATATCTACACATTAGATATTAGAATACAGTATTTTCAGCAATAATGAAACTTACAGTCCCACATAAACACCATTAAAATAATGAAGCTAGCAGGCCACTGTTATTGCAGCATTATGTTGCGTGATACTTGCTATTACATGTCACTCAAGTTTGTGTTGTCATGATGACATGAGTCTCATGGTGTACTCCGGGTTTAGTACTTAAAGTTCACAATTTATGAATCTAACTGTCTTTCGAACATGTCAATTTCAAAATTATTACTGCATATACAGTTCTACTCGAACCTAAAAGTTTATAAGAACAATGTAATTCTCATTTAGATAGATAGGCCTACTTTTCATATTTCCGAAGTTTTGTGACAATATTTTTGTATATAATTTCAGAATACCCAGATATCCAGTCAGCAGCTGTAAAAACCAAGATGACTAGAATATGTGAAGATACAAGGCGCGCCATGTCAAGGGGAATGGATACAGCAGCTAATGTTTAACAACAGGCGCTTAATGTGCAGTATTTTTTTTAATTTTAAATTGTAACTGTAATTATCTTTGCTAAAGGTAACTTAGCAAAGTGTTGTAATTTAATTTTTAAAATAAAAAAAAATAAAAAACAGACCATATACTCCTAAACACAATGTAATGTGGACCAATTTTATGCATAAATTGTAATTGCAATGAACCTGTCAAAAACTGGATGCATTTTATGCAACCTAAATACTCTAGTGTGGTTTTATATTACTAGTTTATTCACAATAATGCAAACACAACTTTTAAAAAAGACTAGTTGATCTATTTAATGCGTAAAACACAAGTGAACACATCTTTAAAGATGTTGACCAATTTTACGCATGAGAATTCTATTTGAAATTATTAATCAATTGCATACATAATTTTGCTAAATTATATAACAAAATTTTATTTTTATTTTTTTTTTCCGCCCGTCGTTGAAGATTTTTCAAAAATTAGGTGTGCATATTATACCATTGCATACATAGATTATGTTTTATTACATGTTATTTTTTATTGGTAATAAAAAAAAATGTAATATTTTCACAGTGGTTTTCCTTAAAATCGGTACACACTGTACAAAACCTTATATTATTAAAAAACTAAATGCCTGTGAATAATTGTGCAATATTAAACAGTATAATAGTACAGTACACAACTTTGAAGAGCTGCAGATAATTTTTGTATTTTAAGTATCAGTTTATAGTTTTTAATTGTTAATTAATTTTTGTAATCTACTTTTATGTAATCCAATAATATAAAAAAAATTCTCATTAATATAAATTTGTATAGGCCTATATAGTTTCTTATTCTTGTTATTTATTTGTTTTCTTAGGTGTAAATATGAATTGAAGTTTTAAATTGAAGTGCAATGTATTTTATAGCTTAAAAATAGATTTGTTTTTTATATACTGTATCTATTGTAATACAGCCATTTTTAGCTGCATGCTACCGTTTTGTACATTTTTTGAATGAATGAATGAATGAATGAGTTGAATGAATGAGTGAATGAATGAATGAATGAATGAATGAATGAATGAAAACGGCAAGGCGGCTTTGTGTCAAATGCTTAGACTGAAGAGACCACCATCCCCAGGGTCTCACTACTAAGTGAGTTCAGGATTTTGAACATAATATGATAACGGGCTGTTTATAAATCGTGTTTTAGTGCTTTTATATTCTTTGTATGACTTTTTCGAACGAAAAATCAGCATTACCGGAAGCTGTCAGCTATAGCGTTTAGCGACTGTATGGAAACCAAGCTTGACTCTCTCATCCGCGAGTCAGTCCTTGTCGGGGACATTGAATCCCCGTCATGCAAATCCTGGCATCATTTTACCAGAAAGAAATATGAATGTATTTTCTTTACAGGATTAAATAAATAGATAAAATCAATTAAAAGATCGAAGCAAACTTACATTGCAGTAATCAGAGTTTGTAGGCCCTGGTTCTTAAAAGGTGGCCCGCATCTGCGAAGAAAATTATTCTGGCCCGCTAGAAAAAATATAAATTATACAAAAAAAATATTGAAAGAAACTGAAAGTAATAACCATTTAATGAATATATTTTTTAATAAAATGAAGGCCAAAACAAAACAGTGGGCCAATGTGAAGTAGGGGTGGCCCATTAAGATCTTGAATTAAATCCGTTACAAATCAATTGACAAACACCAAAAGATTGGTAGTTTTAGTTCAGCTAAATATGACATAGCAGATTAAAAATAAAAACGTTACCATAGACTTGTTTTTATTATGAGTAGACCGGAGATTCTACTGGTGAAGAGGTTTTAGGCTTTAAAATCTCTAGTATTTGTGGATATAGGATGGGTGAAATTACAGAGAAATACATATTGTGTGCCAAAATATTAAGTTGAACAAACTTTGTATGACTGTGTTTAGGATTATGCCTGTAATTTTATGTTTGGTTGGAAAATACTCCTACAGGATGTTGTTGTATAGACGCCGAAGTAGGTAACAGTATTTTGCTATGAGTAAACGATGAGAAGCAAACATAAGAATCAAGGTCAATTATGATAGAAAACAAAATTAGTTTTACTTTGTGGAAAAAATTCCCACTTCAGGAAACGCTACTTCACACACGGTTAAACTTGCACAAAGAAAGCAAGACATGACAATTACCATTCTCCGACAACTAAAATGTCCGGTGACCCTGCAAAATATTTTGGCGACTTTAACTTGGGTCGCGATCGATAGTTTGAATCCAAGGTAAATTATGGGTTACAGAAATCCAATAAATACGGCCTCAAAATGCTACTTTGTCAGAGCTTCTCCGCCTCTGGATCCAAAACATATATGGGCCTGTAAACAACCTAATATAGATGAAAATATGCTTTACCACTTTATCATGCTACTTAAAATCGCTTCCCACAAAATAATTAATTGAAATTAAGTAGTGGTGCCAGTTGCGGAGGCAGATTCCTGTCAGAGTGACTGTCAAAGGAGAACTCAACACATTCGTAGTGAAAAATAACCATACGTAACCTTTACAGAATATGAGGCTGTACATCGATTACCGGCCTTAAGCATTTAAAATCACTAAATTGTTCTTCTGGTCCTTGCGCCGTGGACTCCATTAAGAGGTTCTAGGACATCGCTCCCCTACTGCCGTTGGCCAAATGATGGTTTTACACAAGCAAAAAAAAATTAATTAAAAGATCAGCAATAAGCAAGAAATATTTCAAAATTAAGTGTCTTAATTATTTTGGCAAAATCATAATATCAATCTTATGGTGCAAAATTTTAATGGATTTAACGTCCTAATATTGTGCTGTAGTACAATTAAAAATAAAATTGCCAAAAATCCTCAGAAGTTTGTGCGGCCACAACAGGGGGCTTCGGCCACAGCATCTCAGAATTTTACCTTAGGTTCATAAAGTATAACAAGTTGCTTGAAACTCGAAGATTTTCTTTGGCCTGTGACCAAATCTAAAAATAGTTTGGCCTTCAAATAAATAAATTAAGAACCAGGGGTGTAGGCCTGTGATCGACTGCGACACACAAAAAGGTACTAGCCCTATTTTATCTTCCTCTCCTTAAATTTCTAAATTTCTAAATTTATATTCGCAAATAAAATTTTATTTTCCCCTCCTCCACTGGGATACTTTTGGCTGGAATATTTTGCAAAATTATCAAATAAAATTTGATTTTTATCTTTTTTCCGCCAGTCTCTAAAGATTTTTCAAAAATTAGGTGCGCTAAACAAGGTATTAAAAAGTGTCGCCTAAGTAGGCCTAAGCTTAACTATACAACACAAGTCCATCCATCGAAAAATAGAGTATACAGAGCACTACATTACACCTCGGTTTCACGCAATTCTGCTATACGTGCGTGTGATTGGGTGGATCACTTCATTCAAGGAAATTCATCGGTGGAAGAAATTGACAGGATATAGACAGACTTTAACCTCCCAACATTTAAGATTTTATCAACATGTATCATTTTTAAAATTGTGTCAATTACATCCTTCGGGACTAAAAAAACTGTCCCCATAAGAAGGGACACAAACTAAAAACGTGAAATTGTTCCCTTAATAGGGGTTTTTAGCATGCTTTTATTGACATAAGAATCAGTTACATTAAAATTAGAACTAATTTATAGCAATAACTTTCAATGCAGCTAATACAATTCATAAAAGTATAAAATGAGCAGAAATGTAATTCAAACAACAATAGCACACTTGTTTTATGTTCCGTATATTATTTTTTATGATGCAATGTTAATGACCAAATTTTATTTTTAATATTAAGCATTATTTTTGGATGGATGTAGCATGAATAGAGAACGAATTACAATTAAGGGTACATGTTATTGTATAGATAAGAATCCTATATAACAGTATATGAAAAACAAAGAAAAATAAATCCCTGTGGTTAAGGGTAAAAATTGTATACCAATGTCCACTCTAATGATTCAGTGGAGAAAATTCTGGTCTATTGCTCAAAAGGTGTCAAAATATAAAGTTGAATGAATTTTTCTTATTTTGAGACTGTTGTAGCTGTTCTGACAAAATGAAAAACAAATGAATTGTTCCCTTTAATAAGGGTTATTGATCATTTGGCACACTCAGTATGTGTCTCCGTCCTCTTATTAAATAAGAGTAAGTAGTTTTAAAAGATAATTATATTGCCCCTCATTTCACAGAAAAGTGTCCCCTTAATAGGTGTGCCCCAATGGAGCTTTCTACTGTAATAGCCCATAATTTGGCCTATATTTACTATTATTATTTAAAGCCTTTAAAAATCTTAATTTATCAACCAAACCTACGTCATGAGGGCTGCTCCCGTATAGACCCTCTATCAGTGAAAGTGACTTCCTGGGACAAACTATTTCAAACTCATGGATCTGCCACTGATATATCATTTATTTCGTTGTTAAAACACTTAGAACATTCATTTTAAAGTGAAATAAAACAATGATTTCACCAACTAGGTGAAATATTTATGTAGGCCTATTTAAAATGATTTTTGTTTTATGATTTAAATTAAAATTCTTGGTTTTGATCTACTTTGTTCATGAAGTTAAACATTATAAATATTAATATAACGTAGCCCTGTTACATTATAAATAATTGAACTTGCAAGTAAATATGGAAGTATACTGTAGTATAACTGTAGAATTTGTGTTGTTACTTTGTAAGTTTTTTTTTTCCTAAATTTTACAGGATATACAGTAACCTTAGTATCAAGTACATTTTTATAATGAATTATTGTTACAATTTAAGTCAAAAAAGATGGTTTTTAAATGACAAAAAAGCCCTTAAATGTCGAACCTTTTCTGTATATCAACAATATACCGGGAGTTGTTATAGTGACGATAATGCAAAGTATACTAACCTTCAACTTTCCACAAAAAAAAAAAACATAGAAATAGAAAAGTGGTGAAATATAGCATTTAAATATAAATCCCAAAACTGAGCAGAGATTTGTGTGTAACCAGCAACTACTACTATTGTAACTCCGGAATATATTATTGGTAACTTGATATTACCACAGGGGAAATATGGGTCAGTCTGTCAAGATTGAGTGGAGTGGGGATAAAGTGGTAGATAGCTATTTAGGAAAATCTTAATCCTAAGTTGAAAATTAAACATGTCACTGTCAGTACAAAAAATCCTTACAAAGTTTTTGGCATAGACGGTTTTAAAGATTCTTTTTTTTTTATTTTTCATGAATACAATTTCAATATTTAAATGAATATTCTGTGTGATTAGACTTTTACAATGATATTAATTTTATTGTGATTTTAGTGTGGGACAAAGATTTTCTGATATTTATATATTGAAAAATAAAAATACTGTTTTTATCCATATTTTATTACTGTGGCCTTTAATAAAAACAACAACAACAACAACAACAACATCATTTTAAACAAATGCAATTTATTTATTTAAATGGCTTTGCA